ATATTATACTCTCCCACCCGTCATTCTTAATAAACTTTACTATAATTACCCTGGCCAAGTAACTTATTATAACGTTAAGCACTCACCAGCTCTCCCAAGGACTCATATAAAATGGTAACAATAGATAAAAATTTAATATTAGAATAACAAATATTAATAATATTTTTGTATCACGATATTATGCATGCACGTGAATATTACGTGACTACTCAAAAGTCTGACTTTAGACCGAGTTTGATTAAGACTCAACTTTTGGACCAACTCAGACTTTTTAACATCCCTAATATTGACCTATGATTATTTAAACATCCCACACTGTTTCGTTTTAATCTGGTTTAATCCGCCACAATAAATATAAATAAATAAATAATAGCAAGACATTCGTTCAACATCTATATCTTTTTATCTCCGATTGCCACATGCATTATTACCCTATATGGTCATTATTAATTTGATTTTTATTTAGGAAAAGGAATTAAAAATTTTAGACTTTTCGTAAATTACAAAAGAAAAGTGGAATAAAACAAGATTTTTAATAGAAGAGAAAAAGAAAATATGAAATTATCGGATCAGATGTAAACGGGTTGTCATAGTCGGTTTGAAAACATCTTTAAAGTATTATATTATTAAAATTACTGTAAGTTTATAAGAAATAGGAAAGTACTACTCAAATTGGAGGAGATAAATAAATAAATTAAGTAAAGCATTAATTCGACTCTGGAGGTTCTAACTCTGAAATTTGTTTCAGCAAAAACGATTTCTCGTCATTGAATTGTTCATCATCTTCTTATTTTTTGTTGTGATTGTCGACGTTGTTGATAAGCATATCCGAATTCAATAACAATTAATGAAATAAATTTAGTGAGAACGAAATTACCTAAACAAGAGATTTGTTTAAAAAAAAGATTACCATGTCGGTCATTATGAAAATTACTCAAAAAGGCAATCAATCTATCGCGATTCTTTTGCAAAATATCCAGAATTGGTTTATTTTTATTCGGGTTTGCGACAAAAATCTATAATAAACATATAAAAATCATTAACTTGATTTTCAATAAAGATGAAAATTTATATAGTAAATATTAAAAAAAACCTTAAACACGTGAAAAGCTTCATATTGTATATTACGACTTCTGTCCTTGAGTAGATTCATCATTAATTTCAAGTTATCAGGATTCGCAATGTAACGCGTCATAATATTAAAATTACAGCGATCAAGAAGAATTTCACCAAGTAACTTTAATTGGATATTGATTATAATAAAAGAGAATAATTTAATAACTAAATAATCGCAAAAAATATCATCATTGGTATCATCAGAAAAATTTACTTTTAAAGATTGCCTCTTTGTGACGTAATTTCCGGAATTTAAAAGTTTGGTATACTGTACAAAAAACTGATTTCGGTTGGAAAAAAACAGTTTAGATCCAATAATTCAAAGCAAAGCATCGATAATTCATATATTTTTTATATACACCTCATCATAATTCTTATCTAGAAATTCAGCGACCAGCGTTTTATGTCGTGTTAATATTTCCTAATACAATAAAAAAAAATGATTATTTAAAATCATTGATTCTCTCTTAACGGATGTATGTTAGTTAAAGACACGAGCGAAATAATAATATAGAAAGCAATATAAATATGAAAAGACCCAGATGTTAGAGCCAACCTTAAAAGTCGCAAAAGCATCACTTGCAATATCAAAAGTGCTAGCTTCGACGTATTCAAAGAAATCATAAAACTGCGGAGAATACAAAATGATTTTGGTCAGTGATTCGTGTCGTAGACATTCTCGCAGTATCATCCCGCAATTGAGAGCTATTTCTTGATTTTCATAGCTGTTTTTATTTTGTTAACGATAAAATGGTTTTAATAAGAAATATATTATGAATGATCTATTTAACATATCACGAAGAAGGAAAAGACATCGAACCCTTTAAGTAACGTGAACAGAATTTCTTCTCTATTCCGTAGATAATCGACAGTCGGTGTAAGTGATCCGATTTGCCGTCTTAAAAGATTATTAAATATTTGTGATACATCTTTTTTTGCCTGTTCAACAGAATAACCAACGATTAATTCAATACATATAACCATCGTAAAATAAACAGAATTCAAAAATCAATAATCACATACCTCAAATTCAAAGCGCCATATATTCAACACGAACAATTGAAGTATGTCATTATTATAGACTTCTTGAGCCAGTTGTGCGACGGTTTCAGGAACGGGATCAGCATCTAATAAAATAATATAATAATTTTTGACATCATCTTCAATATTATGCTTTAATTTTCGTTAATATTAGATTGATTAATTTATCGATCTATCGCGCAGACAATAGACGAAGAATTTCCAAAAACCACGATTATTAATAATTAATTAACCAATTAATTACCATTTTCCCCATAAAGAATAGTCTTCATGATCGCCAAATTCTTGGAAATGTCTTCACCTGCCTACGAAATAACATTGGGTGAGGACCGCTCTTCTTATCTTTTTCGCTATAAACAGGTGTTTATGTGTTGTCATTATGTGGAGGTCAGGAAACACTTTTTGATAGTGTGTTGATATTATATAGAACGTGTGTATATGTATGTATATACTTTTTACGCATTGATGAATCTTTCTATCAATACATCTCCCCCATCCTAAAAAACTACACTAGCAATCGAATTGATAATGTAATCCTACTCTAATTCCATGCTGGATAATAACCACATATATGACATAAATGATATAAGAAGCCACATGCCTCTCACATATAAAATAAAGGTCGACAGTGTCTACCAACCTTTTTCTTTTCCACGCCATCCAATTTATTTATCGCCTCTCTGACATTTTTCACCAACTCATGCGGAGTCTTTGTCTTCGATTTGAAAAGAAAAGCCATGTTATGATATATTCTCTTTTTTCGAAGGTTTTGGCTATTTTGTTTCTAATAGTAAAAACTGTCAACGAGAGTTTTCTATCGGAGATATTTTATATAATAAATACGATTTGGTTGCGATTTATGTGAGACTAAAGAGTCTGCGCTTAATTTTTCAGAAAAAAATATTTATGAAAATGAAAGGGAGAAAGAAAAACGGTAGTTTTTCTCTCGATTTCTATCGTTCCTGTTTTTATTTCTAGTATTGACTGAAAGTGTGCGAGTACGTGTGCAGTAATAAAAGAATTTGTGCTTGGTGTATATCTGATGAGATGATGCGATTTTCGTTTCTGTGTTGCATAAAAATTAATAAATTAAAAAAATGTTGAAATTCTGTTACACTACATGAATAACTTGGCTCGGGTACTCGAGAAACCTTTTACGTATTTTTCTTCGGAAGCATTGTAACATGCCGAAATACACATACTCTACACTATATTTCATTCATAAATCAAAAATTTGAATCGATGACATCATTGAGGCCAAAATAAAAAAACTTGAAATATATATATGATGGGTGACCATGGGACGCTGCAATAAGTATCCAAGGGGTAATATAAAAAAACTCGTTTTTTTTCAAATGATTTTTTTTTGTTCTTTACCCATTTTAAGTAATGATATCATAAAGAGTGGATTTCGCTATAATAATGGCCGAAATATGTCTAGTGGTAATAAGATCTCTTGATAAAATCAATAATTTCTGGAATTTTCCTTATCATAATAACAATAATAATAATAATATTTTGCAATAATAATAATAATAATAATAATAATATTTTGAAATAGCAATAATAATACTAATAATAATAATAATAATATTTTGAAATAGCAATAATAATACTAATAATAATAATAAATAACCAATAATAAATAATAAATAATAGTCAGTACAAAAATCGAAGTGTCAATTCAGATTATATTTGCTATACATTCACTACCATCTCTACTGTTACATCACACTTCTCATCGCCCATCATTATTATCATTATATCACCACCGTCACCCCTCCCCATCGAATTTAATGCTATATAAATACAATTGCATGACAAAAAAAGCCAAGGAGAGAGAGGAATATAATGAATGTTGTTGTGATTAATATTGATAGTAAAATAACAATGTTCTTTGAAAGTAAAGAAATGAAAAGTGTTTTTGTTGGTATGAGAAAAAATTGATGAAAAAAGATGTGTGAGAAAATTAAATTATGCTCAGCCAAATTTACTCGAGAATTTATCTCCTCATTTGGATCATCGTCATGTTTATGTTGATACACCAAGCCTAATTAATAAATAATCCACCACTACTATCTCCCTAATATTCATCGTATGATTGATTGATTGATTGATTATTAACTTTCTCTCAACTGAGTGACTGAAATATTGACTGGATATCCCCTCCTTTTTAGTGTAAACGAATTACGACAAGAAAAGAACCAACCGACTGACTGACTGATTGACTGCAATATATCGAAATGAATTTTTCCGAAACTGGTAACGAAAATCTTTTTATCCAGACAACCAGTTACCAAAGAAATTGTGTAATCATGAATAGCAACATGATACCGAGTTATCGGTTTGGTGGTTTGGTTGGTATCTGAAATTATGAGGCTGGCTTATTATTGGTTTTGGGCCTCGTTCAAGCTCATTTTTACGTTCGACTAGGTGTCGAGTTATTTGAAGAAATAGTTCTTCTATTCCTGTGGAAAGAGAAAATCTTGATTATTTTTTCAAAACCTCCCCCGAAAAAAAAAATCAAATCGAACACGAATCAAACCTTTATCATCTTTTGCAGATACTTCATGCACACCACAATTATCGCCCAGAACACGAGCAACGTAATCTTGAGTTCGTTTAAGGGGTATGACTCGTTGTGATGGTGCTAAATCTACTTTATTGCCTACTACATGTATTACTGAAAGATTGATAGATATTCAGAATTTAGATATTTCGCTGTGGCCTAATATGAGAGAAAACAGCTTACTTAAATCTTCCGTCATATTTTTGCGTAGTTCTTCATATGTAATAAATAAAATTTACATTATTAATCGGACTAAAAAATAAAATATTAGTTTTGGCTTTTCATTGCTATGCACAATACCTTCAATCCAAGAATTCATATCTAGGAAACTTTGCTCTGATGTTATATCATACACTAGTATCGCTGCATTAGCCTATGTATGAGAATAAACACATAATAAACCAACAAATGGTCAATTTCTATTTATATAATCGAAATTAGGATTAAGAAAAATTTTAAATTTAAAAACATACCCCACGATAATACATTGGAGCCTATTATAGTCGCGAAGAAAATTAACATATTAAATAAAAATCTATTGTGAAAATTGGAATCAATAAAATATACAAACCATTGACCGAAACCGTTCTTGTCCCGCCGTATCCCATATTTGAAGTCGTACTTTACAATTATCAACAACACTAAGAATACACACAGCAGTCGAATAAATATTAATATCCGTAAATAAATCTTAGTTTCAGAAAAAGGGACACTCGATAATTAATTTCTTTTAATCTGTCATTATATTCTGACTTTTGCCACGCATACATCCGAATCTAATGGTATCATGAAGCAATTATGGTACTTATAAGGATCTATAATAGTTAAAGTGCCAATTTTTGTATTCTCTCAAAAAAAATAACAAACAGTATCATTCCCTCAAAATATAAATAAAGCTAGGAATATATAAAAAAATATACACTTACAGTTTTTTTGCATTAAAAGAGGCTCCAATTGTTGAAGATGCATTCGGTGAAAAGGTTTTTTGTGTATAACGAACTACCAACGAGGTCTTTCCAACTCCTATAAGTAAACCGAAAAAATTTAAACAAAAATATCGAAAATTAGTTACTGTCATTTCTAGGAATTCTTATTCCTATACTGTTAATATCTCTCCTACTAGCGAAAAAGTCAAAAATGTCGTACACAGCTTACACTCATCTTACATTTCACCAGAAAAACGAATGAGCAAACCTTTCTCTCATCTTACATTTCACCAGAAAAACGAATGAGTAAACCTTTCTCACCTTGACTTCCTAGAATTACAACTTTAGCCTCTAACAGTGGATTCATAATTCTTTTATGAATAAAGTATATAAAAGGATTATTCTTGTTACTATTTTTATTATCACTAAAACACGCAGTTAAATTAGTTAAATTACGGAGAGTGGAAAGAAGGGTGAATATAAAATCAAAAACTGGAAAAAACTAGAGTTTAGCTAAATATAACGTTTCTTTCGGGACCCATTACTTTTAGTGTAACGCGATACTAGGTTGCCAGATCTGTAATTCTGTAAAATTATATAAAGATTTACGAATATTTTCCTTGAAATTAAAATTATTATTTGATCCAGATCTTTAGATCTATCGCTATTTATTACTTTAATCATAAATTTTTCACATTTTTAATCTTATATCGATATCAATACAAATAGAAAATATGCTCAAAAATTAAATGTAATAATGAATAATTACTTAAATGACGAGTTTGGAGCACTAATAAATTCCTTCACACTCAATTAATATAATCCGTGTTATTGGTCTTGTTCAACTATATTAGGTTATTATTATTATTATTATTATTAGTATTATTAGTATTATTATTACGGAGTTTACCTCAAATCTGGCTACTAAAAGATCACTATGATATTTCATCAGAATAAATTCAAATATGAGAAACAACCACAATCGATGCAAGTTATTAATTTTATGGGAGAATTACGTACTCATGGAAAAAGCAATCAGATGCGATCCTCGAAATAAAAGTGTGAACCTTTACGTTATGCTTCGAAAATATTTCCAAAAAAGATAACAAGAAATCTCGTGCTTTTCCTGTTTAGGCGCATTGATATATTTTAGACTTCTTAGCCATCTTCTGATACTCCAGAAAATCCCTCTAAATGAAATTGTTTAAGAAACGATGGATAATCAAAAGTTTTGTTTTTCATCGGTAACACTACGTATTGATTTTGGTTTCCAAGTAAGGTTCAAGATCACAAATTTAATAGGCCGAAGGCAAACACGTGAGATTTGATCGTCAACATATAACGATAATGATAATGGCTGCCCAAATTTGGTTCGATTACAATATCGATATATCTGCTTTGTTTTTATAGAAAATGGCAAGAACAATGACTTTTTTCTGCTCTCTGAATATTGTTACTTGAGATAGAGCTTACTTTTTATTGTTGAATTTTTAGGATCGATTTAATCTCAACAGTCAACTTGAACATTGTAAGTGCGCTCTATTTCTCAAACTTTTTATTCATCTTGCTGCTCTCTGAGAAGAAAATAGCTTTTTATACTTTTTACTTTAAGTGCAATCGAAATACGTTGGGACAGGACATGCGGACACTAATAAATTGTAAGTAGAGTAAAAGAAAGATAGGTGTAATGATGGATATAATCTCTCGAGTAAATTATAATAATTATTAAAATAGTGAATGGATGGTGAACCAACATCGCGACAGCTATGCTTCATATATTGGCCATCATGCGTTGATTTCTTACTTTGCTGTTGCCCAGAATGAATGTATTGCACGTGTGAAATTTGAGTTTGTCGAGGTTGGTTTAATGTTTTTAGTATTGGATTGGTGATGTTTTTTGAATTGAGAATAAATTTACTTCTTTCGCTTAACTAGAAAATGCTGCAACCCTGCGGATTACCAGTTCCAAGAGACGAGCAATAAAATATATCTTAATTCTTTACTTTTAAAAGTATTAATTAATTTTAATGAAGTTGTTAATTATAAATAAATCTGTTTTCAAGTTATCGTTACATTATTTATTAGAATTATTTCAATTCAACAGTAGGTGACATCATCACTGCCAATTAAAAATTTACCGATCGAAATATTCACAGAACAACAAATCGCGTGTTGCCACCTCCTCTTACTTCTTTTAATTTTTTAACATGTCGTAAGACGGCAAATATTGCACGCCCAGTCGCGTCCATCTTCAAGTTAATTTTTTGATTTGTATTTTTGATGTCATTTTCCGTGATAAAGTGTTTCCCTTTTTTTTCGAATACAAAATAAAATTAGAAATATTAACTAACCAAATCCATCATTTTCGATTTTTTTACCTCTAGTTTCTTCAGTAATTGCCTCTTTATATGCCTTATATGGTAGAATATTTTTTCATCAAGCAAAATCTTTGAAACTAAAAAAGTAACTAGGATTGATATGCAGGCATACCCAATATCGCGCCTTCAAATTCTGATTCATACTACTCGGATTCATTTTGAGAATACGATATTTATCGGCGAGTAGTTTATTGAAATCATCAATCGCTTCGTTTACTTTTTCGCGCGTGAGTCTATTGAGAATGTATCTATCCGGAAAAATAAAAATTTATTGTTTTTCATTCATTATTTTTAGTTAAATTAATCAAGGACGATTACATACTTTGGAACGGTATCAAATTCCGGAATAGTTAGATAAGACAGGGAGGAGGAGTTACCATTTGTTGACATTGTAGTATTAGTGGTAGTAGTGGCTGCTGCTGGTGGTGGTTGTGCTAATATTCTGTCTTGATCGTGATTATGATTATTATGAGTTTGTGAAAACTCTTCACATTCCTCAAGATTATATTGAATTTTTGTAATTTTTGGTTGTTGCTGCTGATGACTATAAAAGAAGTTTGTTATATAGAAATAAAAAGACAAAAACAAGCGCAAAACTTCACAAAAAAAAATCAATTACGATTTTAAGGATTCTAGCATTGATTTTACAGAGAAATGATTATTTCCTGGTAAATGCTTCGGGAGGTTTTGACTTATGAGTTGCAAATATTCATACTGAGATTTTAGTTTCATCTTGATTTCCTATTGTTTTGAAGGATTATGGTATACAAAAATAAGGATAAGTATTACATCCAACATTTTTTATTTTGGATTTTTTATGATGTTTGAACCTTTGCTCGTTCAACAGCAAGTTTTTCTTCTTGTAAAAAAGTTGTCATATACAAAACATGAGTCTCTAGTTCACTCAGTGAATCCCGTAGCTCTACGAGAGTATCCTCCATTTTTTGTGATGTGCCTTTTATTTATTTTAAAAAATCCAGTTATTATTTTTCGCGTATTTTTCCGTGTTTTTATGAATACTTGTTAATTAAATTATACCTTCAGCACGAAGCAGCATGCAATTCTTAAGTTCTCCAACACGCTCATTGAATTCTCGCATCATCGCTTCCATCTTTGAGTTTTAGAATTCAAGAAAGATTTTATGTACGCGTATGTGTTACAATCCCTAGACGCGCGAAGTTGCACGAATTAATTTATTATAATCGATATGATAATCTAATATTATGACGAATAAAATTCTACGAATACTTTAGAAATTTCGAGAATTTAAAGGTTGTATCTAAAAGAAAAGGTCATATTATAATGATGAAATCACTAATGAATCAATATCTGCGTATAAAGAACCACAGTATGAACTACTATCTGCGATAATCAATTAAAAAAATTCCAAATATCTATTAAAGAATTATTTATTTATTTATTTTTAATTATCTTTTATTTACATTTAGTGATATTATAAATCACCAATCATTTTATTTATTTATTACGCAATTTCTATTAATTATTAGTTATTATATTTTATTGGTTCTTGATTTCTAATTATTAATTTATTTAATTTTGATTATTAATTCATCTAATTTATTTAATATAATGTCAATATTTCACTAATTTCAATTGTAATACTTAGATTAATTTGTATTATGTTTATTATTTCTTAATGTTATGCATATTATAACTTTATTATTTTATTAGTTCTTTACATCGTTACAAATCTTGTAGATTTGTATTATTTTAATATGTATTTAAATGAATGTAATTTAATATAGAAAATTAGATATCTTGTACTTTATCTTTGGTCTTGACAATAATAAAGAATAGATCAGACTGCTAATTATTCTAATTATCTTATTCTTATTTAATTTCTTGTCTTCCTTGTTATAATAATTCATTACATGTTAAATTATTATCCATATTATTTATAAAGCTCCACTTGTGATAATTATAAATACAATCTTTATCACTTGACATTGGAACTCGTATTTTAGAAAGACTTATATTATATACTTTTGCATGAATACAGTCATTATCATCTATCTCATGAATATTTTTATCAGTAAAGATCACAGATTGGTGACAATATATAAAATATATGTAAATAATATAGAAATTATAACAATTTAATAGAAATTATAAAATTACAGAATTTATGGGAATTATAAGAATTTCTAATCATAATAATGATAATACAAGATTAGAAAAGTTAACTGTACATAGTTATGATATTCAGTTAAAAGAAAAGTGTCATATTTGTTTGATAAAGAATGTTGTCATTATAGATTTACAAGAGAATCAACTCCATATGATAAATGAATATATTAAAGCTATTAATACTGTTATAAGTATTCCATTTATACAGCAGTATATTGAAAAAGAGCATATAATTCCTTTTGTTGCTGACTGGCTGAGCAAATTCATCTTAAAATGACAATATCACGCTATTTGATTTATAAAGACTCTTTCAATATTACTAATAATATTTTATTTTTTCTTTCAATTATAGGATCTCTTTATATTTTATTGAATAGTCAAGAATTAATTTTTCTTTAATATCAGCCTTGTTTTCGTGAAGATATATAAGTATATTTTTGAATTATGAAAATCTTTTGCTTAAACTTCCAAGTCATAACATATTAATCTCCTTTTAAAGATTTCTCATAGTACTTGACAAGAAATTTTGAAAATGATTGAAGAAAAGTTTGGATTTCTATATAAAAATACTGAGTATCTTGCTCTTAAGAATCTTCTTGACAATACAATTTCTTTTGTTTTAGATATTTATACAATATTTTTTAGATCTGAAGATTTTAATACTGTTACCATTTTTTATTGATATTAAGTTCTTGATGTATTAATTACGTGTTTTATTAAGATGAGAGTGAAAAAGATTAAGTTTTTATAGTGGAAGAGATTAAGATTTATTACTAAAGATAGATAACGTGTATTCTTGTTGTGATGAGCTAGAATGATATTATTATAATTAGAAATTCTTATAATTTCTATAAATTCTATAATTTCATAGTTTTTATTAAATTGTTATAATTTCTATATTATTTACATATATTTTATATATAATTATTCAATATTTGTTAATTCTTGATAAATAAGTCAAAAATGTAATATTAATTAATGGAAAATATTTAATATAAATAAAATATAATTGAAATCTTGAAAAAAGTATCAATTGATCAATACAAAAATCTAGCTAGTCAATAAACTGTTTCTTGTTTATTGTTAATGAAATTTGTACATTTAATTGATTAAAAATAATAATTTATTAAAATACCTGCATTTATTGTGTACTATTGGACAACCGTCAAAGTTGCTATAGAATATCAGTACTATATTGCTATAGGACTAGTGTTCCTATGAACTGAACCGAACCAAACTTTTGCCCGAGTTCGAGTTCAAGAAAGGTTCGAAGTTCAAACCGAACTCAAACCGAACCATTATACGAGTTCGAGTCTGGTTCGAGTTCGATTAAAGATCAGCATATAGTATCATA